CAGAACTTTCTGAAAGTGTCTGCTGACTATTACTGCTCTGTCACCCATCTACCTAGAGTTAATTCTAATATGTGGGCTGCAGCTAAGAAGTGCAGTTACTCAGTTTAGTTGTGTAAACTAACATGCTCCTTTGTCATGTACTTTGTGGATGGGAATGGACAGACTGCAAGCTGTGAGAAAGGAAGTGCACTGGTGTGCACTGGTTTATTTCCACTGATTAATTTGGAAATTTCTCCTTTTCTTCAGGTGAGGGCTCCTATATATAACTCGGCTCTAGGTGTACATGAGGCAGATCTTTTTAAGACAGCGGCTACCCTGATTAGTTTTATCTACCCAGCACAAAATCCAGACCTCCTGAAAAAACTTGCAGAACAAAAGGCTACCGTCTTGGCTATGGATCAGGTTCCATGGGTCACCATTGCTCAGGGATATGATGCACTCAGTTCCATGGCCAACATTGCTGGGTATGAACCTTACCTTTTTTTTTTCTTTTCTCTCTAGTTTAAGTATAGCTGGATTAAAAGCTACGTAATTTGATATTAGGTATATCTAAACCAATTCTGTGTCTCTATTTTCATATAGCTGTTTCAAGCAGGATGAAGCTGTTGAAAGTGCCATACAATTTTTTTTAAGTTGGTTATGATCAGCTTTGCAGCAGATCAGAGCAAGACTTTTAAAAAACAAACAAACAAAAATTTGAGGCAGTTCTTCTAATTCCTGGACTGTTTTGTCTAGTGATTCTTTGCTCGGAACTAGATCAGAGTAGGCTCAGAGATATCCTTGAAACAGGTTGAACACAGATTGTCTCTGTCATTGGGATCTGATGTTGCTGGGAGAAGACTGCCAGATTATTTTGTGGACACCAGCAGTATATATATCTCTCTCTCTCAACATACATGTTTGGTTGCTTCTCTGTGTTTTCATTCTGTGTAACTTTACATTATGAATTGTTATGATATTTTAGTATTTAAAGGTGTAAAATCTACAAGCTGTATTCCAAATTTAAAACTGATTTTACGGCATACATACTTCCATATGTCCCTGTTAGGGATGGGA